ACAATACACAAGATTCAAAATATCACATTTTATTACTATTACAATTACTATGTGAATGTCCGTATGATTTAAAAAAAAAATGAGAATTAGAAACTTTATCAGTCGCAGGATATTGCAGATCAAATTCATTCATTATAACCGTTACACGAATAAAATTTTCAATCATAATAAATTTTTAGAGCCAGACTAGGGCTTCCTAACTAGAGGTTGGAATCGACTAAAATAGTCGACTAATACTAATTATTATTATTGTCTGGCCAATTATAAATGAAAACGTTTTTTGTGGTGCAAAAAAATTTAAAAATAAAATAATGGAAAATAATAAAAATAAATATGCGGAGTATCAATATTATGAAGAAGATGATAATGGTGGTGTTGGTGCTGGTGTTGGCGATAATTATCCATGCGAAATAATAAACATTGATACAAGGTCAAATCATTCCAACAATTCGTTGGCTTTGAGCTCAAGCAGTGGCTCCAGACCTTTAAAAAAACGAATTATAACATATAGTTTCGTATGGAAGTATTTCGAGAAAATTAAAGATTCAAATGGAGATGAATTTGTAATCTACAAATTAAAAAAAAATGTTAATAATAATGAAACAGAATGAATATTCTAATTAAATAGATGTTATTCCTGTGACTAGTGTGACCATTTTGCGAAGCAAATGGTTACACACTAGTATTAAAAAAATTTAGTCGACTAAAAGAAATTTTGACCAACTAGTAGTCGACTAAGGATTTTTTGGACGATTACAACCTCTACTCTTGGAGTTTGGCAACAGGCGATTTCACATTTATTTGCAACATTCTCAGCATAAACAACATATTTATGAATGAATAATAATGAATTATAATAATAAATAACAAAAAAAAATTTTTTTTATTAAAATAATAATAATTATACAAATGATTTCAATAATGTTTACATTTTAATCTCCTATTTTATTTATTATCCAACTTTTTAAGCATAAACATGCTCTTGCAGTCTCTGGCAACAAGCGATTCCATGTTTTACTAATGGTATTTCCAGCAATCGAAAATGCCTGCTCTGATGGAACACCTGTTGCTTGGATGGTGAGATAATCCCATGCCATATCACTTATAACTGGGAATTCTTTGGTATGTGCCTGCCACCATAAGAAAGGATCTGTCTCCTCATCTTCTTGTAATGCAAGATACCGATCTAACTCTGATGCATGTGTTGGAGTTATGGATGACTTGAAGTTTGTGGAATGGAGCCTTGTAGGAAATAGATATATACAGTATATAATATAAAGTTGAATGATGTGTGTTTGTAATTCATTTCCTATATCAAACATCATGAAATAACAGTAATAGTAAATAATTCACAAGTTGTAGTTGGATGATATATTTACAATTCATTTTTTTATATCAACATCATGCTAATATTCATTCTATATCAACCATTATGTAAATATCAGCAAATAGTTCACAATAGTCAAATGATGTATCTACAATTCGTTTTTAATATCAAATGTCATGCAATAAATAACATTAAATAATAAATAATTTACAATTCGTTTTATATCAATCATTATGTAAATAAAGTAAATAATTCGTTTTTTATAAATGTCATGCAATAACCATTACCACAAGTTGTAGTTTAATGATGTATTTATTTTAAAAAAATATCATGCAATAATAATAATAATAATAATCATTATCACAAGTTGTACAGTGCAAATCACTTAGTCCCACAGCTTTTTATTGGTCGTGTAGATTTTCAAATTCTCCAAAAATGGAAAT